GCTCACCTACCAGTCACTGCCTCTAACGAGCCTTCTCTCATTAGGAAATGGAGCCCCTGGGGTGGATTCACACGCAACCGAATGAGTCCCCTCAGCTCTCGCCGCAGGATGTCACCACACATGCCAAGGTCATGGCTGACAATCCCTCATGGGATGGGGAGAAAACCATCATCATCACCTGCAGGTGCACAAGGCAGCCAGGTCTTCACTAGAAATATCCCCTGGGTCCTGGCTTCTGTGGGCTGCCTGAGCCAGATACAGGAAAAATAATCTAAATCCAGGCCTCTGAAGACTAGCTGTGGCCAGGTTTGGAATGGGCATGCTGTGAGCTGCCTGTCTTTGGGAGCACGGGTGGATATCATAGTCTGTTTTGTGTTTGCGAGTTTAGCACCTAGATTAAAGTAAGATAAGACTGGGAGGTATGGTGTAGGAGACTGGCTCAACATGTTGCACTCATTTCATGGAAGTGGATCACTTTGACTATGAGCTAAAGCAGGGGTGGGAAAACTACGGCGTTTTAATCTGGCCTTCGAGCTCCAGCTGGGGAGCGGGGTCTGGGGCTTGCCCTGCTCTTTGCATGCCGTGGCCAGGAACCGCGGCCAGTGGGAGCTGCAGGGGTGGCGCCTGCGGATGGGGCAGCGCGCAGAGCCACCTGGCTGCACCTCTGTGTAGGAGCCAGAGGGGGAACATGCCACTGCTTCTGTGAGCTGCTTGAAGTAAGTGCCGCCTGGATCCCTGCGCCCCGACCTCCTGCCCCAGCCCTGATCCCCCTCCGAACCCCCCGGTCCCAGCCCGGAGCCCCCTCCTGCACCCTGAACTTCCAATTTCTGGCCCCACCCCAGAGCCCTCACCCCCTCCTGCAACCCCAAATTTTGAGAGCATTCATGGCCTGCAATACAATTTCCATCCCCAGATGTGGCCCTCGGGCCAAAAAGTTTGCCCATCCCTGAGCTAGAGGTAGTATTCTTTCAGCTGGGGGGGAAATGTTTGCACTTAGCTTCCTCCCTTCAATCTCAGGGTTCACTTGATCTGCAGTTTTGGTCACTACCACTTTCCTTCTCTTCAGTTTTACCCCAGGCTCCTGTACTCTGACCGCCTACAAGCTGACTCCCAGTGGCTATGAGTGGGGCAGGCAAAACACAGACAAAGGAAACAACCCTAAGGGCTACCTGCCATCCCACTATGAGAGGGTGCAGATGTTGCTGTCAGACCGCTTCCTTGGCTTCTTCATGGTACCAGCACAGGGATCCTGGAACTACAACTTCATGGGTGAGTCCCTACTTAGCCGACTGTCCTTGGAGAAGTGGAGGTTGTGCACCTCCTCAGGCGGTTAGGGGAAGGGGAATGTTGTTAGTGCTCTGAGCCCTGTATCACATCTGAGCAGCTTGTTGACTGAGTTTTCAAAGCCCTACACTCAATTCCATGGTGTCTGTCTGTGACATGGTAACTTTTGAATGCCTCATCTGATGAAGGCCAGAATTTCAGGGAAAGTTCTAGGCATCAATGGGCAGAATCCTATTGATGGTGGGTTTTTGTGTGTGTGTGTGTGTGTGTGTGTGTGTGTGTGGCAAATTAGAAAACTGGAAGGGGAGAAATGGGTCACAGAGCTCCTGCCATCTGTTTAGTAGAGCCAGTTTCAAGCACATCTGTCTGTAGATCAAACAGGTTGATGGTACCATTTAATGCCTTCCAGCATAACAGTATCCCTGTCTCCTCTCTGCCCATCCTCCTAATAGCTTCTAACACATTGACATCCTGAATGACTTCCCACACCAAGAACAATAATGGGAATAGGGGTGGCATGGCACAAGAATGTGGAACACAACTCTTGGCATGAGGAAGGGGGCTGGGATTTGCAAGGAGTGCCTGAAATAGAGAGGGACAGAAGGATGGCAGATGGTGAGCTTTTGGGGAGACAGGAGAGATGCAAGTCACTTCTGATACATGCAAAGAGCTCAGCCTAAAGAGTGTGAGTGTGTGTGTGTGTGTGTGTGTGTGTGTGTGTGTGTGTATACACATGCCTCGCTCCCCCCTTCTTCCCCCGCCCCCCTCCCCATTTCAAGTCTCTTGATACTTCCACCCAACTACAGGTGAGATTTCTTTTCTAGTAGGGGCTTGCAATGATTCTATGAAAGCTAAAGAGGAAGGAAACCTGTCCGGTTCATCATGTGTTAATCACAGCAGTCTTGTACCTTAAACATGATTAGTAGCTTCCTGCAGGGGGTTGTGAAGAACAGGGTAAGCTGTGTGGGTGGAAATGGCTGAAGTCTCAGGCATGGGGACTGAAATGGGACTGCTTAATTCCAGGTGTTCGTCATGATCCCAACATGAAGTATGAGCTGCAGCTAGCGAATCCCAAGGAGTTTTACCATGAGGTCCATCGCCCATCTCACTTCCTCAACTTCGCCTTGTTGCAGGAAGGGGAGGTCTACTCTGCAGACCGAGAAGATCTCTATGCATAGACCTGGGCTCCCAGAACTCACCCAGACACAGAAAAGACTTAGTACTGTTGATATTCAACAGTGGGTACCTTTCCCCAGAAGAGTTAGTGATCTGCAGGCATTCCCCTGTATTGCTTTCAGTGTTCATTGCTTTAGATGCTTGTGTGTCTAGTCACTGATGGCAGGATTTGTGTAAAGTGTCAGTCCAAATGTACTTTGTGATTTTGGAGAATGGCTTAATAAATTTTATATAACCGGGAACTCTACATTGTCCTTGCGCCTCATCAGTATGAAAGCTGGGTTCAGTGTCTGGCTCTGCCACTGATTTCCGGTGACCTTGGAAGTCACTCATGCGAAGAGTCTTAATTGTGCATAGTTAAGCTTGTGCCTGTTACTAGGTGTTGTAGCATCTAGGAGCCCTAGTCATGGACCAGGAATCCATTGTACTAGGCATTGTACAAATGGGGGTGGGGGAAACGTCCCTGTCCCAAAGAGTTTACCATTAAGTAAAAGATGAAACAACAGATGGGGACAGACAGGAGTACAAGGAAACAATAAGACCATATTGATCAGCATAGTATGTGGTCCCAGCACAGTAGGAGCTTAGCTGTTGTCAATTTTTTTTTTGTAAGCATCCCAGCAAAGGGGAATTTTAAAGAGGGATTTGGAGGAGGATAATGGTGAGGTAGTGTTATGCATATTTATGGGGCGCTCCTCTGTTGGCATTATTTATGATGCAAGGTATTACCACAACACTAACTTAACCAGAAATTTCTTTATTAAATCCAAAGGCTGAATGGTATTTATACAATTACTTTAAACTTCCTAAAAATAAGTAGTCACTACATCCAATACAGAGAGAGTATTTGTGAGCATGTGATTGGTCTACTTACACATTGGCCAGACTTAGGGAAAACCATCTCATCCTGGTGTGCTCCAGCATGAGTAGGTAGGGGTCTGACAAAGAACCCTCAAATTCATAACTCTTCATACCCTTCAACAAACAAATGATGTCATAGCCAATTCCACTCAACAACTAATTTGAGACAGTTTACTCTAATTTTCAATTTTAATCCAGATAAGATTTACAACCTCCTTTCTCCCAAAGTCTTTTCTCCTCCTCTTCCCCTCCTTCCTGCTGACCAATAGCTTTTGCCTTGCATCTGGGTTTGCATAAGTTTTACTTTTAAGAGAACACTCTGGGCTGGGAAGGTCCATGTTGGAGACTAGATTCTTTGTCTTATTTTAAACCATCTGCAGTCATCTGTATTGTTTTAGAAACTTTCCCTTATCTCATTTTTTTTTAAACCAGACATTCTCCCTACTCCATTCTTCTGGTCTTAGAACTCACTATTTTCAGGCCCTGACTACCAAGTAGAAGGAAGGCCTTTCCTTTACAACACATTCTCTTTATACCAAATTCAAGCAAACCTATTCTTTAATTTCACATTTATTCTCAAGCCTCCCAACCGTGGGGCAGTATCAGAGCATGAAGGGGCTTGTTTGAAAAGATAAGGTGGTGATAGAGACTGCACTGATCAGAGGCAGACAGTGACAGTGCTTTAGTGAATGAGAAATGATTGGGTGGGATTTGCTGTGGAGGGCCTTTGAGCATGGACACAAGCTCTTTGTTGTGGAGCCAGGGCAGGGAGGGAAAGAGAGAGGTGGCCAAAGCTCAGGGCTAGGAGAATACGCGTTGGAGCAGCCTGGGGACTGGGTCTGAGCAGGACACGAGGCCCAGGGAGGAGGATGGTCCAGAAGAAAGGGGCCTAACGCGCTGAGAGCCCGGCGCAGGTTCCTGCTGACGGGCCAGCTGTGCCCCAGCTGTGCGCAGCGCCTGGCGGTGGGTGGCTCTGCCCCAGCTGTGCACGGGGGGGCTGCGGGGGTGACGCTGGGAGAGGGGCCGGGCCGGGCCACGCTCCGGCCTCACCTGCCCCAGCTCTGACCGCCTGGGCCCAGCGCGGCTACGGGG